AGAACAGCACATTCAGTGCTCATGGAGAAAAGGAATGAATTTTACATGAACTATGTTCTTCATGCAACCGCTGTTCCTCATAGCATTTCTACAGTAGGTGACTAAATTACAGTAGGTAATTTAATGACTTAAATTACATGGAAGCAGTAATTCATGCCAGGGTTACAGATTCCTGTCCCATGAGACAGCTGTTATCTAACCAAGTTTGATCTACCTGGCAGACATAGATGAGGGCATAATTTGACCACAGATGCTTCAGTCTTTCTATTGTAACTAAGGCCTAGAAAGCACCACAAATTAACAAAAAACTCCTGGGAAAAACAAAGTATTTTTCATGTTGCCCCTGTGAAAAACAGCTTTCGTCCAGGGACTGTTGATTCTCCTTCTTCTCTGTATAAGTAAAATGCAAATAATGCAAGATCATTTAAATACAGCACCAAGTCATAAGCAAAGCTGTGAAATTCGCTGCTGTTCAATGGCAGTGGATGGTAGATGTAGTCAAGAACTGTGTCCAGTGTCTGCTCTGGACTTGAATTTGAGCATAGAGACTGGTAATCTTGGAAGAAAGTGACTGTACTTCTGTTCACAGCTCAGTTCTTTGTGTCAGATTTTGGTCAACCACTCTAAAATGGGAGAAAGGGAGAGATACTGTACCAAATATCCCACTCACTAAGCAGAGATCTAACAGGAATTCAGAAGCAGTGGTGGCACTGAGAGGTGACAACAGCAGAGAGATTTTTCAGACACTTACTTCGGTGTTTCACACATCAGTTACCATTTAGACGGCTGAGAGCAGCCACTGACAGCTCTCGCAGCATGCCAGACAAACGTAATACAGAAACTGAAAACAGTAAGCATCTTAAATGAAAGTCAGTGACCACTAACTCATTAAGTCAGATTAAGTCTGCACAGAATTGTCAGAATAAATTGCATACAGAAGAGTATCAAAGATGTAGTTAAGGTATTTGTAAAAAGGACAGGAGGAATTACTGGTCAACAGGACACAAGTCTTTTTCCTTCTTTTACCCAGGTCCTTCTGAACAAGGGGAACTACCCTCCCCTCTGAACAAGGGGATGACTTTAGATGAAGCAAAGTGAGTGTGTATAAGGAGTTAAGACCTAGGCTAAGAGGAAATACTATGGTAAGAAATGTGCAATGGACTTAAACTAAGCTTTTTTCATATCAATTAGCATCGCTCGTTCTCCTGATCTGACCCTCTGGAGAGCATTTGCCAACCCCAACTCTGTCCATTCCATGACTTATGGCAACACTATTTTTGTTGTAATGCTTCCAAAAATGCTCTTTTGTTAGAAGAACATACTTGCTTATATAATAGCTGAGCCTATACACCATATGCAGCCATAACTGTGTCCCCTACTAGTGGCAAGAAGATAACTTCAGATTTAAAACAAACACTGATGTTGGCTTTGCTTTAGATAAGAATGCCTAGAGAAAAATGTGGCTGTTATAGAAATACAGTATGCTCCAGGAAAATGTCAATTAGAAGCAACACTGGACTAAATGAAGATGCTAAATTTTTACTCCAGAAACTGTGCCTCAGCTCTCTCTGTGAACCTACGGAAACTTTAAACCTACTTTGTTGCTTGCTGTTTGTATTTAAAGTAACAAGGTCAACCCTAATCTGACTCCTCATGTTCCTTGTATTTTCAGTGAACAGTTATACACTGCTGATAAATTTTTCCTAAGTATCTTTTCCTTTTTACTCACAAAAGAAAACCAATCCAGGTTATTTATACAATTTCTTTTAAGATACCTTTAATTCTACACTGATAAATTGCTATTTCAGATTTCTGTTAGAACTAAGAACAACAGTCATTCCATACTGCTGATATTAAAATTCTTGACTTAATTTTGCAGGGATTTGAGTGACTCAGCATCACATTCCTCATGACTAGGAAATGTTTTGCAATTTCACTTTACGATATATCAATAAAATTTTATCTTCCCCTTAATGTGCCCTTCTGAGATGGACTTGTCATAAAACACACTCATGTGCTGCTGATTTAGCCGTAGTTCTCTTGCTTATTTTTTCCACTGCTCAAGACACTTATCGTTTGTCGGCCTTCTACGACGGGGTTACAGCACTGGTGAGTAAGTGAAAAGCAACTAACATCATCTACCCGGACTAACTCAAACCATTTGACACTGTCCTGCACAACATCCTTGTCTCTAAATTGGAGAGACAGATTGGACAGATGGACTACTTGGTAGATAAGGAACTGGATGAATATGATGGTTGCACTCAAAGAGCTGCGGTCAATGGCTTGATGACCAAGTGGAGACCAGTGTTGAGTGGTGTTCCTCAGGGGTTGGTATTGGGACCAGTCTTATTTAACATCTTTGCCAGTGACATGGACAGTGGAATGGAGTGCACTCTCAGCAAGTTTGCCAATGACACCAAGCTGTGTGGTACAGTTGACATGCTGGAGGGAAGGGATGCCATCCAGAGAAACCTGGACAGGCTGGAAAGGTTGGCCTGTGCAAACCTCATGAACTTCAACAAGGCCAAGTACAAGGTCTTGCACATGGGTCAGGGCAATCCCAAGCACAAATACAGGTTGGGCCCAGAATGGATTGAGAATAGCCCTGAGAAGGACTTGGGGATGTTGGTTGATGAGAAGCTCAACATGAGCTGGCAATGTATGCCTGCAGCTGAGACAGTCAACCATATCCTGGGCTGCATCAAAAGAAGTGTGACGAGCAGGTTGAGGGAAGGTGATTCTCCCCCTCTACTCCACTCTCATGAGACCCCATCTGTAGTACTGTATTCAGCTCTGGTGCCTCCAGCCTAAGAAAGACATGGACCAGTTGGAGCAAGACCAGAGAAGGGCCATGAAAATGATTAGAGAGCTGAAGCACCTCTCCTGTTAAGACAAGCTGAGAGTTGGGGCTGTTCAGCCTGGAGAAGAGAAGGCTCTGGGAAGATCTTATAGCAGCCTTCCAGTACCTGAAGGAGGCCTACAAGAAAGTTGAGGGGGGACTTTTTACAAGGGCATGTAGTGATAGGACAAGGGGTAATGGCACTAAACTGAAAGAGAGTAGATTTAGATTGGATAGATGCAAGACATTTTTTGCAATGAGGGCAATGAAACACTGGAATAGGTTTCTCAGAGGTGGTAGAAGCCCCATCCCTGGAAGTGTTCAAGGCCAGGTTGGATGGGGCTTTCAGCAGCCTCAAAGATCCACCAGGAAGGTGTCCTTGCCCATGGCAGAGGGGTTGGAACTAGATGACCTTTAAGGTCCCTTCCAATCTAAACTATCCTATGACTCTATGATTAATGTAAACCACATCAACTCATACTCCCACCTCGGCTAAGAGTTTGACTGAAAAGCAAAGACTGGGATCATTTTCTAATTTAGGAAGAAAATAACTGCTTGGGAAGAAAATTACTTAAGAGGGAAAAAAATAATCAACAGCAACAGCCATTGGAATTATCACATGAAATTAAGAAATCTACAAACACTAGAAGTACAGAATATAGCTTATTTAAGATGATAAAAAATACTGAGGTTGTGCTTCCTAAATTTTTGTACCAGTTTAATCAAAGCCAACGCAGATATTTGGCTAGACCTGCCTCCTTCTTTTGTCTGTATCTGCAGCATCCGCTGAAGCACCTTTATTCCATTTCCTCTTGGCAGAGTCAGATATTGCTTGTCTCTATTTCACTGTGCAGTTAAGTGGCTGCTCTGTCTTCCTCAGTACATTTTCAGCATCCTGTTCTAACTTATCTCCAGAGCACCTGGGCCCAAGAGAAAATAAGAAAGGGGAAGCAAAGAGAGGGGCTAGTGGGTGATGGGTAATGCCAGGAGAAATCAAGTTCAATGCAAATTAAAAGAAACTGCTGCAGGGTGAATTAGGCTGGATATGGAAGCTTAGCAGAAGATGGGTAAAGGTTTGAGTTTAGCTCCTGTGCCCTGGGACTCTTATATGATTCTCAAACACCGTATAATGACAAACAACAACTCTTATTAACAGCAATCTATTTCAGGTAAAGAGGGCTGTGTAAAGGCAAAGCTATGGCTTTGAATCTTCTCAGGCAGGGAAGGGCACTGAGCCAAGACTCAGATACTTTGAGCAAGTGCTCTAACACTGACCTAAAGAAGAAAAAAGAACGTGCTGCCAGTTTTGAAAGCAGTTATACATATTAAGGAAAGCCAAACCTAAACTTTGGAACTACTTCTTAAGGTTTTGGAGGAGAAAGAGAGTCAGAAATACCTAGTTTTGGTCATCCTCGAAGGACCTATGCTCTGAGCTGTTTTGCTGTATCAAGACTGAGGTGCTTTCTGGACATGCTGAAGGCCTTCTGTTACTTTGTGAAATTTAAAGTTCAATATTAAAAGAAATATAGTAACTTCAATGGACAGCTGAGTTGAGATTTTGAGGATTGAATTCAGACTTATGTGTCTGTAATCCCCTAAATAATTTCTCTTGCATCTCAGTTTCTTTGGATCTTTGATGAAACCAAAATTGCAATTGTTCCTATGCTTTTTCAGGCTTTGAATTGGCAGCTTTCCCTGCAGATACCCATGGGCCAGGCAGAGCTTTACTGATGTTTCTGAGCCAATTCTCAAACAGACACTATATATCTTACATATTGATGATGAATAATAGAGACATACAGATCTGTTTTCACTTTGAAGAAGGCCTAAGGTTAAAAATAGCAAAATTTGCTTTACATAACAGACCAAGAATTAAATTCAGGCTGTTCCGTATGCTCTCTAACAGCAGTAACACATAGAAGATTCACTCACAGGCTCATATATCAAGACACATTATATCAACTGTTCATGCCTTTCAAAAGATGGCCCTAAAACAGAACTCCAATTCTGATTTATTTAGAAAATAATAATAAAAAAAGATGAAAAATCCTGTTTGTAAGTAATACTAAAAGTATTTGGAGGGCCAAGCAGAAAATCCATCATTTAATTTTAAAATAAAGCTAGAATTTAAAGGAAGACAGACCAGAAAAGTTTACCCTTAAATTTTATTCACTTTATTATAATATTTTCCCAGTGATAATATCTATGAGGTAAACTGTATTCCAGTATTAGTGAAAGGATGTATTTTTTTTTGTCTTGCAGAAGAAACACTCAAAGGTCAACAACTGTAATTCAAGGTCAAAATTTCTCCTGACTCTTGTTTTCTTCATTCAGGAGCTGGTTTAAAACACTGCTCTGCTTGAGAGCTTTTAGACTGGATATATCTTCACTTACAACAGGGACATCTTCACTCTGACCTTCAGTTACCAAATCTTCACTGTCTGACAGTGTACATAGGAGCGTATCATTTTCATAGGTAGGGAAGTAATACCTGAAAGCAAGTAGGCATAATTACTAGATAGTCACATATTTTGTTTGGAAGAGGTTGAGCATAGTTTATGAGATGAGATTGATGTTTTGATGCCTGAAGCTAGGTAGACATTATGCATGTATCTATATTGGACATGCAAAAGAAGTGGTTTGGTTCTGGAACCATATGCCCAGAGTGTACCTTAACTAGCAATGAGATGTGTGCCAGATGCCCATCCCAGGCATGATCTGCACTTGAGTAGAGAGCTAACGACTGGACGAATCTCATGCCTACAAGTTGGGCTTTTGAGATGTGACTTTGGTGCACAGATTTAACTTTGGTTCCACCAGGAGGGAAAGTGCTCTGAGTGCACCATGTATGCCTTTCACTGTTCACTGCACAACTGCAAGTATAGACAAAAGACAATTTCACAACAATAAACTTCTCTAGCATACTAACTTGACAGTGCAGACACAATTTTTGGGGATAGTGCATCCTGGATGCAACTAAAAGAGCAGTATCATGTGTTCACTTCAGCTTCAGACAGAACAGGGATATATGATTCTGGGTAGTTTTGAGACCACTTATTATTTTACCTGGGCCAGTAGAGCTGGGGAGTTCAGGACACAGTTGCACTGGCAAAACTCAGAAGTTTCAACTTACTGTTTTACAGACATTATCAAGTAAGAGTACTTGGAAGAAACATATGTGCCCTTACTGTGGTTGATCCCATGTAGACCTGGCTGGCAGGAATGTAACATGTTTGGTGTCTTCCATATGCCTTATCAATTCTCCTTTAGACGGAAATTTCTCCTGGCAGTTGTAACAACGGCAATGATGGATTTCTCTTCTGATGAAGTTCACTAGCTTTACTTGCTGGTAAAAGTTCAGACCTGGGAGAGACAGTAGCAAACAAGCACTTGAGGAACACGAGACTTAATTTACAAATGCGTTCTTGGATTAAGCATAAAGATTGATAAGTGTTTACTGAAGACCAACACTGCCTGAATGCTATAACTTAGCAAATTAACCGAACAAATGCTTTTTTCTCAGCTGCAGGGAAACTAGCTCTTCTTTTAATGTAAATATTGCTAGCACCTTGCTTCTTCTCAGTCTACAGCAGAAAGCAAACGTTGGTCAAAAACACCTTAGAGCACAGCCTTCTAAATTGCAAGCAAGTCTCAACAGGCAAAACAACAACAGCAATAATAATATTACTAATTATTATTATTCCAAGGCTCCAGCAGCCAAACCTAGGACTCATAGTGTGGGTATCTGTAGAAGCTACTCTGCAAAAGAATCCAATGGTTTTAAAGAAAATGGCACAAATCTTTGACTCTAACAATAGTTCCAGAAAAATAAAGTGCTTCTGGCATTCTTTTGTAAACTGGCAGAAACAGTTTCCATAATGGAAAAGTTAAATGTCTGAACAAAAATCAAATTGATAGCTGTTTTCCAGTATTCGTCTGATGTGGTTTTCTCCACACTAGTGGCAAATGCTGACAGTTACAGCATCTCTTACTCACCATGCTCTGACTTTATTTTAGGAAAGTCAAATCCATGTGATTTCTGGAGGCAAAAAAAAAGAGGAAAGAATAAAATATCTTACTTCCACTACTTGTACTATTACATGTTAAAAACAGCTCAGGTTTTCATAGACTGACAAGGACACATGCATATAGACATGCAAACACTAATACATGAAATAAACCCCCAAAAGCTTTGTTTCATCAGAAACCTTCATATTCTGTTAAACTGCAGTGTTCCTGATAAATAGTTCATTAAAACTGAAACCCAGATGCTATCAAGATATTAAATCATCAAGTCATTATAACATTAAAGATGCTACCTCTTTATTGTCTCAAGTAAGAGCTAGTCATACTCTAAATGTTAAACTTGAATCCACTGCATCTTTTACAGAACAGATGGTGGAGATGCATACAGTTTTGCGGTAGAGAGGGTATTCTAATGCAGCAGCTGATTTGATCTTAACAAAGATGCTATAATCCTACTGAATCTTCATCCTACTTAATTCCAAAGTTATGAAAGAACTAGTATTTAAAACAAGTCTTACCTGCATGTGAAGATACAGTTTTTCTGTGGTGTCTGCTTGTTGTTCACAGAACAGGCAAACTGCACACACAGGATGTTCTTCCCAGTCAGACCAGTCTCTTATGATTAAAAGTCAAAAAGATTCATTTAATTGTGGAAAAGAGAAGAGACATTTTGTGAAAGGGCATTTCAGATTCTGCACTTCACAGCATCAGAAATAAATCCAGATAAATACTTTAAAGGGGTGGAAGAGACAGTGTGGATTTATAGCTGGATATATCATTAGAATCTGGTTTACAGTCTAAAAAAATTACAAATTCAAGAATAACTGAGCAGTTACTGTTAGGTAATTCCTGTGCAGACAGGCAGTAAGTCCTACTCAAATTTGGCTGCACTAACAAACAGGATGTTAGCTTCATTTTTTATACAGTTTGGCAAGGTATCAAATATTGCATTCAGTGTTTATTTTTAGAAGGTCTCTTAAAATTTTTTTATACCTTTCTAATCTTTCAATACACCACCCAAAGATTATCAGGCAGAGTTCACTCTAAGTGTTAATTATTTACCAAATATTATCATTCCTAAAAGAGACAAGCATGCTACATTTAGACATGCACATAGAGAATAAATACTTTACCAACACATCCATTTAGAGACACAATACTGAGAGACAGAAGTATTATTGCAACCAGGTATAACTAAGTAAAATAAAGCTGAAGTCACAGACAGAACCAGAAAGGTCAGGGACCCTGATACCCACAAATTTGTTCCTGCTTATTCAATTCTCTATGGCCAAGGAAGCCACTTATGCGGTCATCTGAGGCCCTGGACCACAGACAACCAGAGGAGAGGCAGATGTCGCTCCCAGTCAGCACCAGTAAGAAGTTTCCTTCAAAATCCTGCTTTAATCTCTATTTGTTACTTTTTCTCATACTTTTTCATACCAATTCTTTCTCATGATGACATTTTTGATGCTTGCTCTAGATTTTTAAATTTGAACAAAACCAATTCAACCGTTTTTTTAGCACAAAAGTAAAAAATGTTTTGTCTAAACCACCACAAACCCAAAAGGCTCTTATATGAGCTATATGCAAAGGAAAATAGGCTTGTTGTTAAAACACTAAATTTACAGCCCTTGTTGTGGAGAAGCCTTTCATGAGAACAAATTGGAGTTGATTTCATTGGCTTAAATGAATTTTAACTGTGCACTAACTATGAACAGCTTTTTCCCTTAACTACTTTCAACCATAATGGTCTTGCAAGTCTTCATAATGGACACATAAGTAACTCTTACTCTTCTAGGTTATCTAGTAATTCCCGGTCGTCCTCTGACTGCACTTCCTCCCAGGACTTTCCAAATTCCTGAGGGGACAAAAGAAAAGAGAAAAACATTTCCTGATTCATGTCACATTTTATACATCAACTGAATGAACATCTGGGAAGCTGTAATCAACATCTTATTTTGGATCACTTTGGTATTTGTGTGAGTTAAAAGTAGTCATACAACACTGTTTTAGTAACGATTTTTAAAATAACAATTTGGTTTGTCTTTTAATGCGGCACTCCCACCCTGCATCTGGGAAGCAGATCATTTGACAGAGTTCTCAGGAAGAGCATCCGAGCTCTGTGTAAAACTAGAGTGTTGCAACACTACCAAGATGTTCCCCAGGTGGGTATGTTATCACTGTCTAGAGTTTGCCATCACACTTGCTCAATCCAATCTGCCTACCTTGCTTTTCATGCAGCATACACTGCTTAAACAATGCAGCTATCACACCTGAGACTTTAGTTGGCATAGCTACACCAGTTAGTGCTTGTACCTTGTACAAGGTTTTGTCAGTAAAAACACATGGTGTAAACCTAGCTAGAGAGTACTCCAGAAAGGCAGTATGAGCCAGGGCATACATCTCTGAGCTAGACTCCAGTTTCTCTTCCATCCTCTTCTCAGACATGAGAATAAGCACATCTATTCGTGGTGTTCTGTTCTTCCTTTTACTTTGTGTGTTGTTTATTTATATCTTAAAGACCTTCAGCACAAAGTATATCACAATACATTTGTGCAGCATTCAGCACAATGGCAAGCACTCTCAGCATGACTGTGATATAAATAATAGGCAGTAAAAAGCTGAAGAGCTCTACTGAAATACCAGCAGTGATCTTTAGCTAGTGTTTTTCTTTTCTCCAATTCTTGCTGCCTTTAAAAATAAACCAGTAAAACTAACCAGTAATTCAAATAGTATTTTTGAACTCATACTTTTGACAGCTGTGATGGATTCACAAAGATCATAGTTAAAGATATTGTCTTCATGAAAAAGGCAGATAATAAAAAGATCATTCTTTCATTTATTTCAGTCAAATATACCTTCTGATAAATATATTTAATAACATCCTTAGTAACAAGTGTTATTGTTGCCTTTATGGTTGTTTGAAAAAAGGAAAAGATATCCATCATTTAATCATTTAATGAGAATTTTCAAAGCTGTTAGTGTCTATCAGATAAATGATAAACAAATGTCTCCAGACAGCTCTAAACATAATGTCATCATATATTACAGAATGAAAATTCAGTAATTAATTCAGTGATGCTGCATGGTAGTGTGTAAACTCTCTGAGTTACAGGGGAGGCTCGTTAATGTCAGCATTACTGTGAGATAACATGAAGCCATTAACACCTCTCACCACATGTTCTCCCAGCTGCACACTAGTTTCTTATGGCTGCTAATGTTAACACCTTAATGAGAGGACAGTGGCTCACAACCACAGCAAAATGAAGATGAATGCTTGCAATTTTTCCCCTCACTGCTGTGAAGTATATGTGCACAAAAGAGTATGTTCAAAACAGCAGCCAATATTAAGCTTCACCTTTTAATTAAAGGTGAAAGGGGAAAACCATGCACAAGCTTTGTTATTGCTCCTGTTTCTTTGTGGTGTTTCTGCGAAGAAGGCGGGGAAAGATCTTGTGAGACATCTCTGCTTCCCTCATCTATTTATATTCAGAGGAGGAAAAAAGAGGAAAAAGGAAAAAGCTAATCAGGTCTTGTATCATTGGAAAGTTGCATGGAAAGTGGATAACTAGGGGCACTGTGATGAAAGTGCCGAGAGATTGAAGCTGAGCAAATGGGTGGGAGTTATTTGAAAGATACTTCAAGCTCTTTCAGTTTTTCTAATTTTTGTATTTTTAAAAAACACTTTTCAACTGATGGGCATCTGGGACCCAGGGTGCCTTTGTTAAGTATTCAACTTCCCTTGCTCTTTCATCCGAGATGCAAGAGCTCCCAGCAATCATCTCTAGAGACTCCCATGAAATTCTTAACAAAACCAGAGGAAAAACTAGACTTGGCATTGTTAATAGTTCAAACAGTAGAAAAGATGTAATTAAAAAAAACTGCGGGCCTCACTACAGATAAGTGAGGAGAGCATGTAAATGTGTGTGGTTTGATTTCCTCTTCAAAAATGAAGTCTAAATGCACAGAGATGAATAAACTCACAGACAATTTGTCTTCTCAACTTGAGCACAGTTTTAAGGTTTCTACAGGGAGAAGGTCTGTGTGCTTCACTGAGGCAACTTACCTCAACTTGAGAAGAAATGCTGAGATGGGAGAAACTAGAAACAGCAGCTGGTATCTCAAGCAGTTTTCCCAAAAGAGCAGTTACTGAAGTACATGCAAATGTAGTCTGAGGCCTGTGGAGCTCAGAAACTCCAAACAGATGCTGCATTCCCCTGCAAATTTCCTCTTAACCTTCTTCTCACCTGTCTTACTGCGATTATCTGAATAGTTTTATATTGCTGTAGAATTTAGAGATGCTTTATCACATAAAAGAGACGGTCTTACCCCAACATTAGTTAATAGACATTAGATGAATTTTAATATGAAGTGTTCCCCCACTTGGGGGTTTTTATTAAGTCTTAAATTATCACCAACTGATGAAGAGTTGTCCAGAATGAGAGTTTTAAGACTGTTTCTGCTCTTTTATGGCCTCTAGCACGCATCACAGGCTAAAAAGGTCTTACCTCCACACTTTTTACTTGACTTTTTGTGCAAGGTGAGTCATGGGGCCACAGGTTAACACATGCACAGAAACAAGAAGATTAGGTTGGAAGGTTCTTGGAGAAAAGAAAAATAAGGTAACCTACATATGTATTTCAGATGTATTACTGCTCAGTTCTTCACCCTCTACTACCAGTTGACTTTTTCAATTTATACTTCAAGGCTTTCCAAATAGGATTGGTATCATCTTCCCTATGTACATAATACTGACAAAAGACCTCCAAATCCACTGGGGAAGTGACCACACTGCCTTTCACGTTATTTGCATATTTGCAAAACACCCACTCTAATTTAATATAACTAATAATAATAAACTTTCGGTTCTTGCTTATGAAATAAATGTATTACACATGCACGTGACAAAAAAAGCTTCCACTCCTACTAAAGATCATGTGTAATAATCTTAACACTAACCTGTGAGGAAAAGAACTTATCAGTATGAGGGTACACAAATCAATGCAGCTTGTAGGTCATGATAGTAGTCATACAAAGCCTCAGAATACAAAAATATTTACAAAGGAATTTGCACTTATATTACTCATTGCTATGCCAAATTGGAAATTTAGGGGAGGGAATCACCAACACATAGACATAAAATGTAACTTACATTATAAAACAGATGCTCATAACTGCACTAAAACCACAAGTGAAGCCAAAAGCAGAATGGAGGGAAAGGAAGAAGGCAGGCAGGCCTACTGCTCTAAATGAAATCAATGGGAGCTCTGCCATCAGCTTAAAATCGCGAGTAAGAACTGACCAGAAGATCATGAGGCAATTCAGCAGACATTCTCCGGACATCTGAACAAAAAAAGCCCTTAAGACCTCTCAGTACAAAAGCCACAAAATAAAGGAAACTGCCAGTTCCAACTTAATAAGACTATTTTACACAGTGTTTGGTGAAGATAATATGTAATGGAAAATTTTAAGAAAAGGACAAAAATGTCTGTAAGATGGTTGTACTGAAGAACTATGCATTCAAATAGCTTAAGATCCAGTTGCTGATAGAAAAGCTTTATGTTGTGCATGCTAAAAGTAAAGTGGATAAGACTGTGATAATACTGATGCCTATTATTAGAGACCTCGTTAGTCTTATAGTCTCTTTATGATGAAAACAAACTTGATCAAACTTGCATATAGAAAGATCTTTGTTATATTCTCAAAATTCAAACTTTTATGTGAAAACATACAAAAAATAGATAAAATGTCTGCTACATCTTTAGATGAATCAAGATGAATTCAGTAGTAAAGTTTGAAACAGTACATCTGTCATTTCAGGTCTTAACTCATGTCTGTGTCTGTGAAATTGTACAATTCCCCTGGACATTTAAAGCAATATGTAGCACAGATTTTTAAGACTCATTGAGAAGACAGTAAAGCTTGATAGTGCACATGAAAAAAATATTCTTTAGTAAACTGTGAAGTACTGGAGGAGAGGAAGTAAAATCACTACATCAAGTCATTACAGAAAGCAGACCTTGCATAACACCTAGAATTCACCGAGCATAGACTCAGCTTGAAAAAAAGAATCCTATCACATTAATATAATCTATTACAGACTACATATGTGCAGTACAGAATAATGTTATTTCTCCTTACATGTAAAGGCAAATCAACTGAACTCCAAGCGAACAAATTAAAGTTCTTCCCTTTAATCTTTTTCTCCTTTGTGCAAAAATAAAGGGTTTAGCAAAGGCTATTTTGAAAGGAAACACTTTTTACTGTGTAGGAACTATCCTAAAAATTTCATGCTAATGAAAATTTAATCTCATGCAACATCAGTGTGCAAATACACATTTTATAACTAACTATTTTTAAGTGTTTAAGACAGAGATTTTAGTCTGGTTTTAATCCTCTATTAAAAAAATTCTTTAAAAAAAGAAATGTCAGAAGTTCTGATACAGCTACAGTCTGAAGGATCAGAAAGACTGAGTAGAAACAGTCCACTGGGTAGAATGTAGTGAAAGACAACTGCAAATGTATGGAAAAATCTATGGCTGTAGCAGAGCATTTGGAGCCAAAGAACTGTGATAATTCAAAGTATGTCCCAGGAGAAGCACTGGCAGCACACTGGTACAGACCTTGCACATGCAGACACTCCTGCACAACTTCAAACATTTTGCTGGTTTAAGATATCTTGTTTGAATTATATTTACCATCCTTTGTCTGTAGTAGCAAAGACTTGAAAAATACATCTCTAAGTGATGCTGCTAAGTGATCAATACCCAAATTGGTTCAGGCATAAGAAGTCACTCTGCAAAGTCCTGCCCAGAATACCAGCAATGACTAAAGAAGACCAAGGCCCCCACTTGAGCACTGTCCTGTGATTGCCCATACTGTTTAATAGCTTGCATCCTCCGTGGCCACGCCAGCAGCACTACCCAGACAATGCTTGGACATGATTCAGGAAGCGTATAGGCCACAGATCATTCTCAGCAGACAGCATGGACAAGGCCACCAGCTTTGGAGCAAGTGGAGAGATGGGAAAAAGGTTAGGTATATGAACATTAGTCTTGCTGTTACATTTACTTTGGCATATTCTGCTTATTAATGTGACATAGCCACTGTCTGCCCTGATATTATGACCTCCCTGCATGTCTCTCAAACTTCTGAAGGTGTATCACACAGGTCTGTGTGCTCTGGGCAGTCATCTAGCTCAATTTCCTGATCAAAGCAGGGACAGATTCCAATTGGAATAATGAATGTAAATTAGAGACAGAAGGTAATTTAAAGAGGATGACAACTTCTGACAACATAAGATTACTTGCAGGACTAGCAGAGACGAATGGTACTTTTAAAACTACTTAAAACAATTACAACATTAAATTCAAGTCTGTTAACCTGCAAGGAAGAAGTGAATGCTCAGTTCTGTTGAGAAGCTGAGAACATCCACCTTGCAGAAACTCACAACTTCTTCCCCAGTGCAGCAAGTATAGGTCATTTTTTAAAGCAGTGATATTTGAATATCTAGAAAAGAAAATATAGGCCTCAGATCATTGATCTTTGAAAAGAAAGAATACAGGATCACAGAGGGAATTCACTCCATCCTTGGTAGAAGGGATTTGGCAGAGCATTAAACATACAACTTTTTGTTCTTAATGTAAAACCCAGGGAGAGAAATTAAAGGGAATGAGTAGGTAAAACAGTCAGGAATGTCTATTTATAACCTGGATACTACCACATGTGCAAGGCAGAAAGAATATCTCAGGTGAAATATAGTTATTTCTGGCACAGAATGTAGCAGCTTTTGAAGCAGCTCCTATATTCATGAGTTGAAGACAGCAAGTGAAAATCTGTTACACACATACATAACACTTTCAAAGGTCTGAGATAGAAAAATATTAATACCTAGCAACATACACCTACCTGGAGGCTAAAAACAAACACTTACTTTTTGTTTCATCTATGTATCTTTCATTTTCTTCCTCTTTGCATTTGATTTATACTCTGAAGTGCGCTTCCTGCTTAAGGTTTGTAGAAAACAAGCTCAAAGCCAATAGCATTCAACTTAGACCTCCATTTACTTTGTTACTCTATCTCATTTTCTCTTCTGGCTATTAAAGCAGAGACTGAGCACTAATGACATGATGATTAGCATCTCTTCAAGCTGCATTCTTGCATCTCTCAAAATCAATTCTCAACAATAAATGTTTACTATTCCTTAGTTTAACAATTATCCAGAATATCATACCATAAATGAGCATGCTTCTCAAGAGTCCTTCACTTATTTTTGACCTTTGTACTAATTGCTGGTTTGGAATTACTCACTTTTAACAAGATATTGTCTGTATCTCTTTAGTCAATTCACAAATTATTCATAGAACCACTTACCAAGTAATTAATGATATAAAATTTGTCATATTCTTTGTTTTTGGCATTGATTCTGCGATGCTGTTTCTTTCTCATGTGATCTTTAAGTGTGTTTTTGTCTCTGAAGACTTTTTCACAGTATAGACACTGCAAACTAAGATAAAAAGATAAAGAAGTCAACATGTTAAAATGAAAATAGTACAAGATAATATCCTCAAATTAGCTGGAGATATATACAGTAAGATTAACTCTAAGCATGCGAGAGCAAGCTAAAAAAATAAAGTTTATTTGAAAAAAAAGTACAAGATAATCTTAGATCACAACTGCGTCAATCAAGCACAGAGATGACAAAAATAACAAAATTAAAATATAGATAATAAAAAAGTTTACTGTTCGCCCCACATGCAAAATGGGAGAAAATTCTGATTACCCAAAATTGTCTTACCGAGGGCATGGGAGGGCCACTGATTGATCAACATGTGAACTCTTAACTCAGTATGCACTTACACTGGCATCCAATCCATCAGTAACAATTCCTTTGTAATTTAGAGTAAAAAAACCCGATCTCTGAATGTGCTACATATCTTTAAAAACAATTTAAACTGGCTAAACAGAAAGTTTTATACTTCTAACTCAACGGGAAGGCTAAATGAAAGTTTGCCAGGGTGATAAGTGGGTTTTGAAAACCTGAGAAATCAAATTTAGTAAATAAATTCATACACATATGCATAAATGATAATGAATGTATATGTATATGTATATGTATATGTATACGTATACGTATATGTATGTATAAATACACATATATAGACACGAATTATTATCTGTACACACAGTGCTTGAGAAGGTGTCAACATTCATTAACAAATGAGAATTTTACCACAGTATGTCTTCCAGAGCATCTCAAACAAAATAGAACTATACATGCTGTTCTAAATTCTCTATTACGAGCACCATAAAATAATTGTTTTCTCCACTGTAGTATCAACTGACACTTGAAAGTTGAGCCTATAAAGCATTAAGTCAAGTCGCTTGACTCAGACAGTGGACTATCAGGACACTAATCTGCACTTCAGCCTAAATGCACGACTCTCCCTGAAAGAGATGCCAGTCATTTTTTTCTGGCAGAGACGTGGCAGAGCTCTGAGCTTACAGGAACATCCTTGTTTAATGGATGTGCGTCTTGAGCCTCTGGTTAGCCAAGGTGCTAAAACATTTTTCTTAAAAGTGATGGCTTACGTATCCTACCAAGATGGAGACAGTTTTGTCCACCGTTTGAAAAATTATCTCCTCAGGAAGATGGGGAAAACCCCTAGAAAATAATTTCTCATGAAATAAAAACTTTGTAACTGTGGCATTGTATCTTTGTATGGGAGATGCTGGCTAGCAGGAAAAAAGATTTGACTGGAGGGAAAAACAACAGCACTTTAAGACACATATCCCATGGATATTAAAAAAATGCAATGGCTCTGAACTGAAATGATCATCTGGGTTTTTTTTCCCTTTACTCACAGATGAAAGCACGCTTGATTGTACAGTCAGAAGGAATTTTAACAGCGTCTGGGTCAGGCCTTACTGTGATTTCCCCAGGGTTTAATATGTTGAAGAAGAAAATTTTTTTCTTACTCAAGCATTTGCCGCCAGAAAAACCATTAATACTGTGCCTAGAAGGTCTGCACCTACACTTTGGAAACTCTCATACTCCTTCAGCAAAGGTGCATCCGACTCCCCTCAGCTCTTGTGTGTGGAGCAGCAATTCAGGATTCTCAGTACCTTTCTGCCTTCCAAGAACTGTTGCAACATTTAGGCTTACCTAAGGAAGTTTTGAGTTCTCCTTGTGCTTGCAGCCTCAAAATCTAAATATAGCCTTGTTGGTGAATCATAGGTCTACGGAAGAATACGTCTATGAATTTTAATATCTGCTTTGCTCCACCTGCTAATAGCAAAGTGTTTGCTCTACTTGTGAACGCCATTCCCAGGAAGAGCACATAATGCTCTTCCTCAGCATATACAATGTAGTCATGCTATTTGCCTGAAACAAGATTTTTCTCCTCTTAATAATATTTTCAGGTACTATTCCACCAGAACAGCTATTAAGTCTATTCTCAGCAGTAGGAGGAGTGGTCTTCCACTACTTTGGAAGAAATTTCAGCATGTGTATTAAATACAGAGAAGATTGGGTTTGAGAAACCTCCATCTAAACAAAACCTTCAGGTCCTACTAATAGATAACAAAGCTGCAATTTATCAATGAGCAGGGTAACTCAATGTGTTAGGCAACACCAATGATAACATAAAAGGTATTCTTAATACATCTTCATTTCTGGAAGAAGTGAACCTGTCTCTATTATGACTGCACATTAATTGTCAGGTCAATGACTAAATTAGAGAGCACTGCTGGCTTTTTCATCCTTCGAATATCTCCCCCCCCATTTTTTTTTCAGATGTACAAACCAATGTATCCTAAATTAGGGAAATTTCTCCTACAGTCTTCGATTACACATTGTATTAAAATTTAATAAACTTGCTAAAGCTACAGTTTCACTTTTTAAAGAAGTACATTTTCTGTTAGAACCCAATTTATATTTGTGGCATACTTCACATTGTCCCATTTATGAAATCCATAAAAGTCACTTAGACACTTGTAAAGGAAACTCAAAGTGAAGAGCTTCTTGCTCTTTGCTACCCAAGTTCTTCTCCCAAATTCTCTCTTTAACTTCTTCATCTATCTCAGGTTTACATGTTTCTGAGGCAGCATTAACATTGGCTTTCGTCTTCTGCTCTGGGATGTACTCTTTGTAAGTAGCAGAGAAGGGAGAGACCAAATGTCCCACGTTATCGATATATATAAAGACAAATGAAAATTGGCATAAGAACTCTGTATTCAGTGATTAAAGAGATCTTTTGCAAAAAGATTGTTAAGCTGAGAAATAAGAACATTAGCTCTAAAAGTTGTGTGAAAAAAGGGACATGCTATTATTCAAGACAAGGTTGGATGGGGCTTTGAGCAACCTGGTCTAGTGGGAGGTGTCCCTGTCATGGTAGACAGGTTGGACTGGATGATCTGTAAGGTCCCTTCCAACCCAAACCATTCTATGATTCTATTGATGTCAATGGAAATTGTGCAATGCATAACAACTGAAGCACTGCGTGTGACTCCTTTTCTCCAGCAAACACATATTAGGAATTGTTATGAATTAGCTTTCAGTAAGTCAACAAAAAGCCCATTCACATTAAACTTACATTTTCTCTTTGCTTCGTCTTAACTAACCATGAATGTTGAATAAATTTTAACCCAACTTATTTCCAAGGTTAAAAGAAATATTACCTAAGTCCATTAAAAAAAACCCAAACCAAAAATACTACTTACTTGTCTAGCTTCTCCTGTAATACAGTCAAAAACTCATAGCAATTGACAATGTTATCTGGCAGTCCAATATTAAAAGCATGCTCTCTTGCCATATGATTGAGGAGGACAGATCTACAGAAGTCATTCAAACAGAACGTTACATACTTTTGAATACATATGAGAATTATTCAATTAGTGTCTTGAAATACAAGAATTGCTCTAAAAATGCATAAAAGCCAACATTAAATAAAAATAATAGTGTTTCTGTCACTGCTAGTAAAAAAAGAATGCAACTTTATTGAAATAGGAAGCTTTCAATTTCAGCTCTGCTGAATATCCAGTAACATTTCAGCTACTTAATCCGCATGCATGAAATGTAATCCTTTAAATGAAAGTTACAATAGTTTGTTTTGACCCTCACTGTTAGCAAGGCTTATTTATTAACTTGAATAAGCAAATCACATGTTTCAAACAACCATCTTGAGAAACATTCTAAAAAGCCATTTGTCAGCTTTCTCTATGCTGTTTAACAAAGCAGAAATTCTTGGGTGTGATATGCTTTTACATCAGTATTGCTTCACACAGCACTAGCAACAAAAATACGCATGAACAAACCTAATGGATGTTTAAGTAAGTTATTTTACTAATAGAGATAGACTGGTAAATTCCTTAGGTGCTTAACATCTTTAAATGTCTCAACTTCTGGATCTGGGGACTAAAGAAATATCCAAGTGTTAACACTGCTGAGCCTTGCTTTTACCACAGACCGGACATGATTTTCAAATCACGTACTCTGTGAGACCCAAGAGTAAGCAGAGGATGAAGTTCTTGGGGGCTGAATGATGTGAACTTCATTACCCCAGGTAGTAAAGAGAACTGTACGTGCACACATCAGTATGACCTGCAGGGATGTGACCCCAGATTCTTCTGCCTTTCCAGAGGAGCGAACTACCCATGCAGTCAGGGATAAACCTCAAGTCTCTCCAGCTGAAATAGATGTACTGTATAAAACCAATTTTTCACTGGAGCAAGCACTTGAATGCAACTCCCACTCACACTTGACTGATGCTGCAAAGCACTCAATTTTCACTCTAATTTTCCTCCCCTCTTTTCCATTCAGTCTTCAAATCAACACTGCTCTGGGGAGGTTTAAACAGGAAAATGTGTAACTGAATAGGAATATTTTTTAACAGCCATACTGACTTAAACAGCTCTCCCTGTCAATAAAACAACTGTCAAAAAACTGTCTCTATTTAAAATGGTTCAGCTTCCAACTCCAGCTTACTGTGTAGTATAAAAAGTTGTACTGGAATAAATAAAGGATTGAGAAGTGGGAGGAAGTCTATTTAAAATGGCACTGCAGTTGGAAGAAATACTTAAAACTTCACCTTACAGTGAATTTTATCTTCTGAGTCCTACCATTAGGCACTAACTGGTTCGATGACATTAAAACCATAAACAAAGACGCTGAGCAGATATGAAAAAATAAACCAAAAGCAAACAAGTTAATAAACAAACCTGTTTCCTGTGAATTCTTGATCACAGAACATACACGTACTATGAAAACTTGTGTCATATCTCTCTTGCTGTTGCTGTTCTAGAATTTCTCTCTATGAAAAGAAATAGATACAGATATTCAGATAAAAATAAATGTAATGACATCACATAAGCTTATTACACCTCTTTATCTGTATGGTAAGGATCAACATACAAAATTAAAATGTGCTGCTGACACAAACCAGAAGTTAATATTTTCTGAGGGTGGGTATTCACAAAAATCGCAAGCTTTTTCAAAGCTCAGTCCAGTTCCACTATGTGCTCCAGTCAAGTTCCATTAAAATTCTCCTAGTACTATACAAGGTGCACAGAAAGAAATAACATCCTCAGTGAGATTTTATGCAGCTATTTAATTGATTCTGTAAATAACATATCAGTTTATTGTTTTTACTTAGGCTCAGATTTATCTCCGGTATCAGTCAGCAAGTTTATGGGTAACCATGTAATGCCCAGTGGAACGATAAACTCAATTTTACATGTCTAATTGCAAGCCAACTACAAGACTTTTTCATAATATGGGACTGATGACAAGAGCCCTGACAGCTTCTGCAAGGAGCTACGGCACACAATAAACTCATGGAAAAGGAGAAGCTGATTGCATTCACCACTGGTCCTGTTTAATTTAGAGCAATAGACCAGGCTAGACACTTTATAACACTTGACCACAATTTTCCTGAGAACAACAAAATCATGCAGCAGGTGATTTCCTATGGTGCTCTAATAGCAGGTGTGTAGTTATACTGTGGAGTTACTACACATTTCAGATGGAAAGGCCGTAATCACCTGGGACATGGCAGGATCGGTGTTTGGATTAGAACTTAGCATATTTTCAGCCTGGCAGTAGACTACCCTGTACTTGTGTTTTAAGCACTGATAACTGGTAAAGGATTTATTTTCTGTGCAACACAGATGTGCTGCTGTCTGCTTTCTGACATTTGGGATCCTGATTGAATTTCTTAGGGGATTTTCTCAATCTCTTTATCTCTTTAGAGCCTACAACAGTGGAGCTTTGTGTTTCTCACCTACCTCTACACTACCTCTTTTGTGTGGATTAAGGCCCAAGTTTGCCCATAGCCTACTTCTAAACTCAGACTCAGCTACTCGTGTTGTATAAGCTCCATAGAAGGCAGAAAAGAAAAAAAGAAAAGAAAAAAGAAAGGAAGGGAAAAAAAACCCCAAACCCTAAAAGGAATGAGAGGATGGCTCGAGCTACTCTGATTATAGAGTAATGCATCCTGCAGCATGGATGGGCTGGTGTGGACCTACCACACCACATCCCGTTGTCCACTGAGAGATGGCAGGAGGTTGATACTAAGCAAATAAACCTGCTGTTGGTTTCTTTCCCACAAGAGCAGCATGCTGTATCCAGTGAGGGGCAGTGGGATGAAAAGGCTGCTTGCTGGAGAGCGCAGGGGTGTGCCACATCTGGGTTATGCTCGGCCTAGGGCCAGTGGCTGCTGTGGGGCACAAGCGCACCATGCCTTAGCCTGCTCTAAGGCCCATATTCAACCACACAATTTGGGAGCTGTGGCTGTTGTACATCAGCTGAAAGTCTGTTACCCCAAAAATGCAGATCCTGGGGCTTTTTCGTTTGTTATATTTTGTACTGCAAGGTGTATATTTTATGTTGGAGCTGTGCACAGTAGTGCCTACTCAAATTCCAGGCCATATTCCCTCACATCTTGCTGCATTATGCAAAACGTCAACTAAAGGAAATATAAATTCTTATTTTTCAGGGCTCACTCCAGAAAGAGAGAAATGGAGCATAACACATCTTGCGAGAGCCCTTCAGCAGAGATGCAATTAACTAAAGATATGTGTCTGCTCCACCCGGGCAGTGAACATCCCACAGCATGTCTGTAAAAACTGGGGCTTTCTCTGGTACTTGTGGCTCTCCACTCAGCAGCATGTCTGACCCTGTTTGGCTAACCCTGAATTTGCAGGCATCGGTGTGTAATTTATATACTTTGTGAAACACACAAGAAACAATCTAAAAGAAAATCAAAAGCCACCATGTACAATTCAAACATTAAGATAGTAAGTGTTTAAACACCTCCAATCATCCATTAATGATATGCCAACATAGCTTCCTAACTGTACTATGAGAGGGAAAAACATTCTGCAATACTTGGCTGCGTAACTCCTGATTCACACTTTATACAAATTGCTTACTGGAGCCCTGGTAAGGTGCTACTCTCAGGTATGCCTGAGGGAGAAGGAGAAGCATCCTGTATCCTCCAGACAGATCGTACCCCTGTTACTCCACTCTCTCACCCTTCCCATTCGCCCCTACACCAGCACTCTTGGCATCTGGAAAGATTTGACTAACCCAGCATCACTGGTAGACACTCCTTTAATCAAATGTTGGCATCATTCAATGCTAGAGGGAACTTCCTGAGCCAGCAAGCAAATCTGGTACTTGCACAGGTGAAGAATTACAAGCACTGGTTCAAGTCACGTACAGTGAAAGTGAGAGGTCTGCTCTTCTTGTTCCCAAGCACCCTTTTACCTCCACTCCATTGCTGAGACTCTGAAGGGAGAATAGCAAGTACAATAACTTGCATAACACTTTTGAGATTTTTCTGAGTGGAGACTTTCAGCTGGTAATGAAAGTCAAGCTTAAACTGAAGTTATGAGGTAGGAAATGAGTAATTTACTTTAATACTTGCACCAGTTTCCAGCCCCCTCAAACTGCTGGAGCTGTTAACATTAACTCATGGATGATAATAAGACACAAAAAAAATCCCAAACAAACAAACACAACAAAAAAACCCCCACTTCAGTCATAAATATTTTCCGAAATTTTTTTAGGATAATGTGTTGTATCAAAGCGGCAGAGAATGAGAGGGCAAAGGCACAAACAGATTACAGAATACACATATTTTAGTTATCTTTAGTTATCTTTTTCCAGATTGAATAAAATAACTGAGCACTGACAGAAAAGGTAAACACTACAAAACTAAGTAACAAAAATGCCATAGCTCGATTTCAGGCAATTAGTTTACAATTTTGATACAGTTTGTTGAATAATTTCTGACCCCCATCTCCTTTAATCTTTTATGAGAAGTTCTAACAGCTATTTGTCTTCCACTCTTTCTGCCATATTCTATGATTTGCTAAAATAAATAAATAAATAAATCTGTTACTGTACTGACAACTCTCAAACTAGTTGTGAAACAATCACTGGCAGAGCAGATATCCTCACTGATACAAAGTAGAACTTAAATTAAAGAGGCTTTGTCCTCAGAAGCCACATGAAGCTTATAAGATCAACCAGGCATTGTCAAAAATAAGTACTGCTAGATGGCAAGTTCTTGGAAGCACATTTTTAGACAGAGCCTAGCTCAAATAAGCAGTAGATATGAGTGCAGCAGTTAGCAGCCTCCTGTGAAATAGCTTTAGGAAAATTTTATAGGACATAAGTGGTTGATCACCTTCAAGCATGGCAAATGGAAGCTGGATATTACTGATCACACTTACATGCAACAAAAATGTATTTACTTTACAGGAGTACTTAATGTATTCAATAAAATAAAATACAGTTTTAATCTAATACCCCTTTTTTCTGCCTGGAAAAGAACTCTTTTACACCTCTTAGGCCTACACTTTCTACTTTATGGGTGATCTACCATAAAAAACCTGACCAAATTACAAAGTACTATCTATTCTGTGTTTTAACTTGTAAAATAAATAAAATAAAAAACAACAGACAACCCATGGTGTGGATGTGCAAGTGCTTATATCAGGATGATCATCTTTAAATATACCAGCACATTAAACTACTAATATAAAAGAAATTTAATAATGTGCATGACAATTTTAATTGGAGCCTATAAAAATGTCCTGCACATTCATGACGCTCAGTTTGGGGTTCTAAGTTCAGACTTTCGCCTAGGAGGTGGTAATTTAAAATGTGCCTGAAAAAAAGAAAGTGTCTGTTCTTCTCCTGGGAAGCAATGTTTTGGAAGAAATTACCCTTTTTTTTTTTTCAGAAGTGCTTAAGCACTATGCGTCAGCAAGAATTCACACTGATGATCAGTAAAAGATGAAAAATGCATGCTTGCAGCTACTAAGCACTGTTCCCTAAACAATTACTTCGTCTCTGATCTATAGTTCAAGAGACATTCAAGACATACAAAATGCCTTCAAAAGGTAAGACTGAAAACTAACTCCATTGAATGTCAAAAACTATGGACTCAAGACAGTTGGTTTTATGGCACATTAGAACTTTCTGATATTGTAATACCTGCTACCCTTCCCTCCAACAGACACTGCACTCCAGGTGCTAAATTATCTTTCTTTATTGTTGTCACACCACTACTTTTTTGAAATCATATACTCCTTTACTAACAAGACCCTCATAAATCATTTACATAGCTATTTGAATGCATGGCATGGATGACTGATGTAGAAAACAACCATTCACAACCAGTACTAAGCACAAGTTTTGCTGCTTTTGATTTCAACATGAAGAAAAAATTGGTGGTCAAAAGTTTGCCTGCTTTTTCCAACTACATCAGTTGGTCCTACAAAAATACATTACTTTTTTCTCCAAAACCACTCTCTACAATGACAGCACTTCTAATACATAAGAAATTAAGGCAGAAAGTTCTTTTCCAGCTCCAAGATAAAGGCAGAGCACGCTATGTGGTTTGGGACAAGATCATGCAGTGACTTTGACTGCAGTGAGGCCAGAATTTATCATTCCTGAATCCAGGAACTCACTTGTGCAGTGAAGAATGGATTCTGCAGTTCAGTCCGTAAAACAGAGCTAACAGCAGTACGTGTCTTCTTTTTTCAGATGTTCAGGATTAAAAAAACCCAAAAAAACAAAAAAAAAAAAACCAACCAACTGCCAGGAGCCCTGACAAGGCAAAGTTCAAAGTCTCTAGTCCAAAGACTTAAACATACAGGTAGTCTCAACTTCAAGTATTTCAGTACTGGGCTGGATTGGGGCAAGAGCATACTGTAGTCTGGGGTTCTTGTTGGCATCTGCCTTGTCAGTTCTGGTCCTTCACTCTCATCCTATCTAGACATGAGACAAGAACGATAG